AGGGAAAAGTTTTCTTCTTATGTACTCTGCATGTTCAATGTGGGTTGGTAGAGGGATCTGCTCTTTTGAGTTACTCTCACTCTAGAGTCCTAGACCGGCCAAATTGAGTCCATCTGGAACAACACTAGATAGGGTAGCAGAGAGACGAGAAAAAAATCCACACAGGGCTTTCAACGTTTCTATCCAGTAGTGAGACACCTCATTTTGATTTCCATTTCCTTGGGCAAAACAAATCGTATGGCCAAGCCCAGCTTTAGAAGGGAACACACATAATCATTCACAAGCATCTAACATGACTAATATTGGCATTTGAGAATACAGTGCACTGCTATGCAATTGTTGCCCCTTACCTGAGACTGTCACTCACTCGCTCACATTTTTGAGGCTCCGGGTTCTCTCTGGCTATCCTGTAACAAAGATACCCCGTGTTGTTCCAAAGTCTGTCTTCTTACTCTTTTTAATTCGTAAAATTTATATTTTAGAGAAGTTTCGGGTTCACAGAAAAACTGAGTGCAAAGTACAGAGCGTTCCCATACACCCCCAGGCCCCCACAGGCGCACCCACTATTGACATCCCACACCGCAGTGGCACATGGGTTACGATTGATGAACCTGCATGGGTAGATCATCGCCTGAAGTCCGTACCATTAAAAAAAAAATAGTTTATCTTTCTTCAGAGTGTCTGGTCCACTCGTTATGTTCAAATGTCATTCAGATCTGTGGTATCAAATCCTATCAACAAGAAAATCCAGATTTGGGGAAGATTCCACTTTTAAATGAAATAGCTTAACGCTGGTTTGCAGCATTTCAATTATAGAAATAGCAGAAATGAATTTCTTCATCTAACTCACCCCTTGCCCCCCTCCAACATAATATACCAAATTCACTTTGGATTGGTTGAAACAGCCTCTCTACATATGTAGGAAATCTAAACTGCTGGCCCTAACTAGAGCTACTGAGGGCTTTATCATAGCTGGGACAGTTGAAAAGATGTGACTCTGGTTATACTTCTGAAATAAGTGCACATGTATCCTCTTTTTGGTTTTGGACCAATACATTGCTATTAATACTGTTTGATGATGCTAATGGATTTTCTCATCAAAGAAAAGTGAAATTTATTTTGTTGAAAATAACCAACTAAGCCATCAAGTAAAAGTGACCTCACCTAACTACTTCCTTTTTAAAAGTGGCACTTAAAAATAGTTTTTAAAAGCCAGATATACAAAGTGGTGGATTTCCAGGACAAACAGAAGTGTAAGGAAGTAAACAGATTAAGTTAAATGAAATGAAATGAAATGAAATGAAATGAAATGGATGTGTTGCATTTTCATCTCAAATACATAAAGCTTCCTATAGATTATCAACAAAACATAGTCTATTACTGGGCATACATACATCCGCTCTAAAGCACCATAGTAGCTACATAGCTAATAGAGAAAACCATCAGCAAAAGAAAAATTCATTTTATTTTTTCTCTTCCATTAAGCAAAAATTAATTAGCCCACAAGAAAAGTAATTAATCCAGATGTGTAGTTTATTTGAATAGAATGAGTGGTTTTAAGGGTAACAGTAGAAAGAGGTTAGATTTTTAGATTTATTAATTGATGATTTGAGTGTTAAGGGAAATCAAGTTTATTTTAGAAGTAGAAGAGAGAAGTAAATATATGTAACATATTCTCTGGTGTAGTTTAAATTGATTAATGCTAACAGATATAGTTAACGGACAGCATAATTGCCGTGAGAGAATCATGTGTGCAATCCCTGTGGTAAAGGGAAAGATGGTAAAATGTGCATCAAAGATGGAAATTGACTAGGCAAGTTTATTTATGAAAAGAGTTTGTGTGCTTGAAAGCGGCACTGCATTTTCTCCCTTTGGCAAATAAACATGACGTGAGATAAGCAAGGTGCCGTGTGACTTTGTTACGAAGAGATGACTTGAAGTGAGCAGAGCCATGTTTTTTCTTTCCAGGATGGGCTCCTTCTTCGCCCCCAGCCTCCCAGGCATCAATATCCTTCGACTCCACACATCCATGTACTTCCAGTGCTGGGCCGTGATGTGTTGCAACGTTCCCGAGGCCAGGGTCTTCAAAGCTTCCAGATCGAATAATTTCTACCTGGGCATGCTATTGCTCATTCTCTTCCTGTCCACCATGCCTGTCCTGTACATGATCGTATCCCTCCCACCATCTTTTGATTGTGGCCCCTTCAGGTTCTTGCCTTTGAAATTCCATCCGGGTGTCGTTTTATTCCAGGCGTGGAGATAGGAATGGTCACTCTTACAAGCTTTTTTTTTTTCTCCAAACAATGGCATTTTGGCCTGTAGAAATGAGATTCTTTGAGCATCCAGGCTCATTAGGTAACATGGAGATTCTTAGGCAAGTTGCATTGGTTTCTTATTTGAGAATCATAAAAGGGAAAAGGATTTGAGTGCGCCAGGCTCTACCCGGGTAAATATGGATGATAAATCTGAGCTCAAAGGGGATGGCAAAGAGTGTGTTCAGATTACGATAGTTGGGATGTGTCAGTTTTCTTGGTGCCGGGCCAGCGTGTCCAAAAGTCGGAAGGAATTTTGACGTGCTACGTCATGTCAAATAGATAATAATTAATTAATTAAAAATAGATTATTCCACAAGCTACCTAAGAAATGGGATCATCATTCGATAACTGTGACTATAAAGTGGGTCACACAATTCACAATCCAAAATGCTACCTGGTGGCAAAACAATTGAGGGTGACATTCGCTCCTGTATATTCTCCCCAAACAAGGACAGATCGCTCAAGTCAGTAATAAAGAGTCAAGAGGTCTCTCTGATCCAAGCTGAAACGTCCTTTTCGCCAGTTCTCTATGACAGAGTTCTGACGGTGACACTTATCAAGAAAGCCAGTCGCTGGGATGAGGGGAATTGAGATTTCATTCCCTAAATAGGGCCCTAAAAATGAATCTACCACAAGTTCCTCTCTGCAACCGCAAGAATCTCTGCCTGTTGAGTCACTGCTCAGCATGCATTTGAGTTATTTCTCCTTTTCAAGTGAAAGAAATGTGAATGTGAAAAGCCACGTGAATGACGAATGTGAGGCAATAATGGCCACATGTAATATCCCCGTCGTGCTGTCAGACGCAAGTTATTAAATTAAAGTCAAAAGTTTCGTTGCCCACAGACCTAAGTATAAAAGAGGCATTTCACTCTAATAATAGGCTGAGTTATTATTATTGCTTTCCTGGGGGGAAAAAAATAACAAAACAAAAGAAAGAAAATGTTAAGCCAGCTGATAGGGCAAAAACCACTGGAGTTCTGTCATACTCAGGAAGCTGATGCTGACAAATCCTAACCCCCAACCCCCCCCCCCCCCCCACTCTGGGCTGAAATAAATAATGCAGACAGTGACATCTGGAGACTAAATATGAAATTGCAGTCTTGAAGAAGAGCTTGGTCTTCATAAATCCCTAATGAATCTCTGGGTACAAAGTTCAACAGTTAAGCTATTCAAAGACTTTACTTAATTGCAAATTACCCACACAACTAAATATCTGGGATGGGTTTTAGATGTGCTTTTGACTTTCTAACTGGAAGTCGATGCTTCTCAGAGAAATGTATCAACGGGAGGGAAACCCAATGTCCACATGGAGCTGGATGGTGGTTACACAGGGGGCGTTCCTGTGAAAAATATCATTGAGCTAGACAGGCACAATGGCCACACAGTTTTAGCTTTTTGAGCCTAATTCTTCTGCCTCTCTTTATATCACATAGAGTTGCTATGATTTTAATTAAAAAAAAAAAAAAAGAGCCTGTATCTAAGGCATAGTAGCTGATTTTAACCAAGTGTTCCCTGATTGGCAGACTTAGGCAAAATTACTGTACATATATCACTGTTTTGAGATCAAGAAAATTTAAATATTTTCAGTAGCATGTCAGGAAAGGGGTGTCTCTATCTTATTTAACTAGTCTATTTCTCCTGTCAGTTTACTCATTTTGGAGCAAAAGAATGTATACTTCATTTATTTGTTTAGATTTAGAAGTTTGAAAGGGTTGCTCTGCCCTAAAAATGAGGTGAGAAAGCATGAATTAGGATCTTCATGGCTTGGCATTCTCAAGGATCCTGAGTTTGGGATGGTTTTGTCAGCCTTCCTCCGGAAGAGTGTCTGACTCTACTTGGCACCTGGGTGGGCAGCGAACTTGCATTTGCGGTAGGTTAATGGATGGCCACACCCACCCAATAGCACAGTGATGGTTAATCACTCCCAGGGACAGGTATGTTCGCAGGTAAAGTGGCTACAATACCTTAGAAGACCCATTCTGTGGGGCGCGTGGATGGCTCAGTCCATTGAGCGTCCAGCTCCTGATTGGTCATCTGCATCTGGTTTAAGATTCTCTCTTTCTCCACCTCTCCCTGCTCTTGCCCTCTCTCTCTCTCTCTCTCTCTCTCTCTCTCTCATAAAACTTAAAAAAAAAAAAAAAAAGGAATTCTGTAAGGAATTTGATGAGGTATTCTTGCTTGACCTGATTTGGGAGGGTGAATTTGTCAGAAAATTATTCCAATAGGCTATTAAGTGGATTCACCTTAAACAGTTCAACAATTTTAAAACCATTTATTTTGTACCCAGATGAAGAAAATTCTAATTTCTCCCACCACATTTGCTGACATGATGCTTCTCCCCCAACCTCTCGCTAATAATTCTGAACAATTTATAATTCTCTGGGTTCTCACATACCTCCCTGCTAGCATTATGGTAATTATATTTTTATGTATTTTCATCTCACTGCAAAGGCCTTATTATGTGTTTCTCCCAGAAAACCTGGAAATTATAAAAATGTTTCTCCTTGAAAATAAACACTTTTCAAAGGCTCCAAAGACCTGAAATAACAACCCTCCACATTTCAACATTTTGGAATTTTGTATTCTGGTTTTCTTTTTATGCAGTTTTTAAAAATAACTGAGATCAAACAGTAAGTGCAGATTTATATTATATTGTGACACTTTTATATATATTTTTTTGTTTTAAATTGCGACACTGCCGTTGTGTTACTTATTTGCCATTATACCTTATGTGTTTATTTTTTTAATAGTGTGGCTGACTTTCAGAGGTTGGGGATAGAATATTTTCATGTCTGGGGGCACCTGGGTGGCTCAGTCAGTTAAGTGTCCAAATTCAGCTCATGTCATGATCTCATGGTTCGTGAGTTCGAGCCCCACATTGGGCTCCGCACTAACAGTGCAGAGCTTGCTTGGGGTTTTCTCTCTCTCTCTCTCTCTCTCTCTCTCTCTCTCTCTCTCTCTCTCTCTCTCTCTCTCTCTCTCTCTCTCTCTCTGTCCCCTCCCCCACTCACTTTCTATCTCTCTCAAAATAAATGAACTTTTAAAAATATTTTTTTTAAAAAAAGGTATTTTTATGTCTGTGAGTCTAAGCACAGTAGAGTGTTGGCCATTACTTGAAGTAATGAATGAATAATGGCTATTTTTTGGACACTAAGCATTAGAGGAGATGTGGGAGCAAATTGGACACTGATTCTGGTCCTGGGAAGCTTTCAGTCCACTGGGAAGACAGGTCTGCTTATAGACTATTCTAAGCCAGGGTGGGTGGGGCCACACCCATAGAAGCCTAAGTTCATTATCATTTCATTTGACTGTAGAGTCACAGCAGACCAGAAAAACATGGCACGCTTTGGCTAACTGTCAGATAAAAGGATTACCAGGGATTAGTAGAAGCTTCTTTAGCTTGTACATAAGAGATCTGGACTCCTAGTAAGAACACCAGACCTGGAAAGAGGAGAATCCCCAGAGATGCCAATGACTTCGACTTTGGGACACACTGAATGCAGAGAAGACCTTTATGGGAGGGGAACATTTGGTAAAATTCCAGTTCCCCTATTCTAACCACGTCCATCAGCTTCAGACCAAGAAGCTGGGGAGCAGAATGTCTTGCCTTCTCTCATCTTTGCTTACCTTCTTACTCTCGCTGTATCCCCTATGGCTGGGAAGAAAGTATGGCCAGGTAGAATGGATGGCGACAAAGAAACCCTAGAGAAATAAATCAATATAATCTTGAATTATCTCTAAACTCCATTCCCCCTTAATATATCACAGGTCTTGCCGGGTGCAGATCTGTAATTTGTGAAGCAAAACTTAACACCTCGGCAGTCCAGCAACCCCTTGACCACATATCTGGAATTACTCTCAGTGTTTTGAAAGACTTTATTATAGTGAGGCCAGAGGCAAAAAAAAAAAAAAAAAAAAAAAAAAAAAATCTCATCTGGAACTTGTGAGTCATGTTTGTTTAGTAGTTGAGAGTGTATGAAGATCAATAAACGATAGTGAAACAAAAATATTAAGTGTTATACCAGCCTTTATTCTGATGATATGAAGAACTTGGTGGTAAATAACCTAATCTCTGCTCTGAAAATTACAGCTTTTCATGGTAGAATCAATATGCGTATACAGAAAAAATAACTTGACATGATGGGTATTACTTAATAATTCTGACTATTACATATTAAGATAAGACAGACATCCTGCCCTCATTTCTCTAGTTTATAGAGGCTGATTCTTACCTCAATGGGTTGAGAACAAATCCATTAAGGACTTTGGCCCTTTAGGCTTCTTTCCTTCTCTTCGCATGGTCTGTTCTTAGCTGTAAGACTGAGCTGGCGGTCATTAGGGCCTGTCCACAAGAAAGACAATGAGAGAAAGGACTCACCCTTCAGTGTGATTACCTGTTAATAACTCTGATGAAAGAGCTCTGTGCAAAATGAGAGAGCAGCTCTTGCATGGGGAGAGATACCGGATTATTTGTGGACTTGATTCTGTTAAGCTATTCTGTATGTTTATTTCCAAGGCTAATTCAACAATTAAGTGCACTCTTTATGCAGCCCAAAGGGAATGTTCTCCAACAAGGACAGCTGGCTAAGGGGTAGACTTGCGAGTTATTTATAAAATATATTTCAATCAAAATCTTAGGGATACAGCTTAAGAAAAAAACAAAACAAAACCAGACTTCTCCCAACGCTGTGGTTAATTTCCTAACTGCTCGACTGCGTGTTTACGTTGGCATACCAGTTCTCATGTCTTACCCATATGTTGATAGTAACAGGTCGAAGTGCCAGGAGTTGTAGCTAAACATTAGGTTCCCAATCTGAAAGAGTACTTAGGTGGTGTTTGAGAAAGACGTCTAGTTTTCTTGCTCTAACCATGGCTTTTACATATGTTATAAATGAACTTCTCTCCTCCACCCTCTCCCCCCCTTTTTGTTTTTCAGTGGCAAAAATAGGATGTTCGAAGTCATTGGAGAAACACTGGAGCACGATTTCCCAAGCTGGATGGCAAAGATCTTGAGACAGCTCTCTAACCCCGGACTGGTTATCGCTGTTGTTTTGGTTATGGCGTAGGTGCTTCCCCTCTCATAGGAAGAGACTCTGTGATGTCTTTCCTGGCTCCTTTTAATTTCCAGCTTTCTTAGCTTTCTCATGCTCTCTAAGGGTTGTGCTGTAACCTCAGCAAATTCAGTGCTGATTACATGGTGGTGAGAGTCTGAAATTCATGAGCCATATTCTGATCCCATTGAATGTAATTCCCAGCCATCTGCATCTGTCTTTGCCTGCCTAGGATTATAAGATTTGTTCCCAAGTAACCAAAATAATTATCAGTAAACAGCTAAAGCAAGGGAAACATAAATGCAAAATGCTAAATCTAATCAGCACATGGAGCTCCCCCAATCTCCTGGCCCCCAGCTCTTGTCCCATAAAGCAGATGGCTGTGAACACACAGAAATGATGAGTCTCTAAGTTAACATTCCCTTTGGGGACCCTATAGGCTGCATTTTAGGGCTAAAGGTTTAAGGGGTCTTAAAAACCATCATGTCCTTGTTCCTCAAAGGCTATCAGTAAGTGTGGGTCCATGATAATAAAATCAGAGGCCCAGAAGGGTCTTGGAAAGGTCGCTTAGTCTGTCCCTTCAAAAGTCAGAGGTGATATCCAAAGGAGAATTTGGGAGGGGGGTTTTGTTCCCTTGTAACTTTCATTGGCTTCTGACTCTTGACCAGCACAGAGATAAACTTACATTCTAAGGAAAAAAAAATATATTTGCTATTGAAGAGCTAGGAAAAGCACCCTGGTCCTTCCTTTCAACCCCTGAGGCCCTCCTAAATAGAAAGTCTGGTACTGTCACTGCTCGCAGTGAAAGAGGGCAAGTATGAAACCACCCTCAGAAACACTTTAGAAATAAAGCTGATGCACAGGATTTGTTTCTTAAAAGGTAAAACTAAGAAAGCTCAGGGAGAGAAATCCCAATGATTTGAAATAAATGAGCTGGGTTCTGGGCCAAGTTGTTACCATCTACTTTGTGATGATCATGGTCATGAGTCATGTCAGAGAAGACAGGTTTCATCTTCAATTTTATTAAGGCACCAATTTAGAGGGACAAGATGATTTTCACCTGGTAGGACTATAGCAAAATGGTAATAGTAAGACTCTGACAATAGATCCAACCTTTACCTCCCACTTTATACTATGACACCTTTTTTGAAGGAAAGCCCATGGGAATAATTAAACAGTAAAACAGATTACTTTTGTATATTAGAGAACCTTGATCATTTGGTGGCATTCAGAATCTGATGGTGAATCTCTGGTGCAGATATGTTAGAAAATGATCTGGTTGGGGGCACCTGGGTGGCTCAGTCGGTTAAGCATCCGACTTCGGCTCAGGTCATGATCTCGCATTTGTGGGTTCAAGCCCCATATCAAGCTCTGTGCTAACTGCTCAAGAGGTTGGAACCTGCTTCGGATTCTGTGTCTCCCTCTTTTTCTTCCCCTCCTCTGCTCGCACTCTGTCTCTCTCTCTCTGTGTCTCTTTCTCTCAAAAATAAATAAACATTAAAAAAAAGAAAGAAAATGACCTGCTGGAAGCCACCTGTTTCACCAGATGGCCCTTGAAGTGATTTTTATTTTCCAAGTTTTCGTAATACAGTGGCTTGTGGGACGATGTTAAGTTATTAAATGGTTTTTAAAAGTCAAAGCACCTTAGTGGTATAAATGAGATCTTGTATTAAAAAAAAAAAAAACAGATCAAAGTTCATGTCAGATTTTATGAGTATAGTCTTACCTTAGTAAGAGACAGATTTATTTCTAAACTGAGGAGCAACATTGTTCTGATGCCAGTGGGTGAAGGTTGACTAAGTTGTCCCAAAGGTGTGGAAGAGGAACTAGTATGGCCTATGTCCAGGCACTACCCGTATATTAATCATTGCATTTCCACGATAATCTTAAAAGGTTGGCCTCATTAATCATATTATTGCTATCACATGGAAGATATGCCCCAAATCAAGTGGCTGATAAGTCAATGCAAGCTCATGTCTTATTTCCCATCTATTATTTCCCCTAACCATTTGAAGCACCAAACAGTGGGTTTGGAATGAGTGGGAATAGACAGAAAGGCTAGAAGCCACTTGTCAGGGATGGTCTACACTCAGGGTCAGCACATTTTTTCTAAAAGGGCAAAATAGTAGATATGTTAGGTTGTATGGGTCAAAAGGAAAAATTGAGGATATTCTGGAAGCACTTATCTAACCATTTAAAAATGTAAAAGCCGTCTTAGTTCATGGGCCATGCAAAACAGGCTGGGAGTCCGTTTTACCCTGGAGATTATGGTTTGCCAACCCCTCATACAGACTGTGCGGAAGAAAGTTGGCAGGATACAAGGTCAAATAGATGTCCTGCAAGGTTGATTGTAGTTCTGAGGTTCTGATTTAAAACCCAATTTCAGTTTATTGCTGAATTGTTTTTCAAATCCTGAGATGTCATCTTCTAGTTTATGGGGCTCACACAATTGGCCTGGCTCTTTATTACCTTTAATTAGAGAATGTTACATGTTACAAACATTTTGAATTTCCCCAGTGGCTCATAGTAAATCAGCTTGGGTGATTTTGGGATAACTGAGTAGAATTCAGGTTCTCTGCAGCCAGGTTCATTCCTTTTGGAGACCAGAAAAGGATTTATGAAGAGTAGTTATTTAAGGTGCATCACAAGACAGAAAAAGTGGCATATAAAGAGAGAATTCCAGAACTGCAAATGACTTGGGAGGTCTTTTGCGTTCACCCTCCCAATCCAGGCACTTTTCTAAAAAAATCTTTATCACACATACACACACACACACATTTATTGAGCACCTACTTCATATCAAATAGTATATGCCAAATGCTTTCGTGTATGTAATTTCATTCAAATTCCCATCACTCATATAAAAGATAAACAAACCCAGCTAAACAATATCAATAATTGTGTTGCTAGCACCAGATGGCTCATAAAGGGTATAATCTGGCATGGTTGGGGAGTAGAGGAAATGTGTTTAGTATCCAGTTATTTGCAACAAAGAGCAATGCCAGTTACCTTTTTTTTTTAATGCATTTTGTTTGTTTATTTTGCTTTAAGTGAAGATGAACATATTTATTTTTACACAAATGTTTGGCTGGAATTTGCTCTTTCTAGAAATGTAAATGTCGGTTAAAAGCCAAGGATATTCCTTTATAAAACATTTTCGTTTCAAAGAAGGGAGAAATGCAAACAATACATCCTATGGAAAAAAATGTCTATGTTAATTGACTATGACTTATGAGGATTATATTCTTTGTTGTGAAAGCCAAAGGAGGGAATTTAAGGCAGAAAGTCAATTTCTTTTTTATTCCACATATTCCCTAAGCTTCCGTAGATTTTCCATTCTCTTGGATGCCCTTGGCATCAATTTGAAATGTTACTTTTAGTTATAGTTTAAACTGATGTTAATACATTTCCAAGAAGATACAATTAGGCAGCGAGGTATGGTAGGCAGAGTGATGCTGTGGAAGAGAACCCTTGAGTCCCACCTTCCCAGGTCCAGCTCTACTAACCATGTTCCGAGTGCATTTTTTTTTTTTTTTACTTCTGTGTACTTCAGTCTTTTATCTACATTCTATGATTTAGTGAATGTAAATTTCAGAAGAATCTCGAACTGAAAACTACCATATATTTTATTATTTTTTAAAATGTAGTTTGACCATCTATTATCTCAATGCTACTGCCAAGGGCCAGAAGGCAGCAAATCTGGATCTAAAGAAGAAGATGAAACAGGTAGGATACAATTTATTTTATAAAAGTATCATCTTTATTAATGTCAAGTAGTAGGAAACACCGGGAAATCTCACGTCCTTCTCTCCTTTTTGTATTGTGTAGCAAGCTTTGGAGAACAAAATGCGCAACAAGAAAATGGCGGCTGCCCGAGCAGGTTGGAGAAATGTTTGTGATTGCAAAATCTCCCCGCTATGGATAAAGTGTTCCTCCTTTTTTTTCTTTCCAAGTGGGCATTTGATGTAGTATACCATTACTGCCCTGAGTGAGTCATTCCACAATTTTTACTGTTCACCTTTTGAGACCCTCTCAGCTTTTCCAGTGGAGGAAAGGCAAGAGAAAGAAAACTTGAAAAATGGAAACTTAGCGATAGTAATAGACAGGTGACTTTGCAAATTGACAGAAGAAAAAGACAACATCCACATAGTCATGTACAAATAGCAGACACAAATGCAGAAGTTCTGCCCCCTGGGGCTGTTTTTATACATAGATGGATACACCAGGAAGATATCACTAGGCTCTTCTGAGCTCACCAGTGTTGATTTCCTGGAGCCTTTTCTAATTCATTAATCTCTCTTTTTTATAACCTTCTTAAGTTGTAAACCATTAAAATAAGGCATACCCTTATTTGCCAAAATTCCCGATACGTTCTGCATTCCACATGGGAAAGTAATGTCTAAGAACCTCAGGGAACATTTTTTCAAACTTTTCCCTCATTCTTAACTTTAAAACTCTTTTTTTTTTTTTTTCAACGTTTTTTTTTTATTTTTGGGACAGAGAGAGACAGAGCATGAACGGGGGAGGGGCAGAGAGAGAGAGGGAGACACAGAATCGGAAACAGGCTCCAGGCTCTGAGCCATCAGCCCAGAGCCCGACGCGGGGCTCGAACTCACGGACTGCGAGATCGTGACCTGGCTGAAGTCGGACGCTTAACCGACTGCGCCACCCAGGCGCCCCTAAAACTCTTTATATTACTAGGGCTTTCCCCCCTTGTAAGTACTATAAGTCAGTCCGAATTGGTTTAAGTAGAAAAAAAACTTCATTAGTCCACACAAATGAATAGGAGAGTGGTGTGGATGGCCTGAGACCACGTTTTATCCCAAGTTTAGAAGTGAGCAGGGCTGAGCCCCATTTCTTTATGGTTCTTTCAACACTGCTCTCACTCCGTGTCAGCTGACCTTTATGGCAACAGGAGAGGATGTAACAATTTCCAGTGCTATGTCCTTAAATTACATTTGTCTTAGATGGTTTTTCCACCGTAAAGCTACTTGTTTTTTTTTAATTGCATTAGCATTTTTTTTCAGCTGTGACAAATTGTAAAACCTTTAAAGTGTACGATGCGACGATTTGACATGCACATACATTATGAAGAGCTCCCACCACTGAGTTCATTAACACATCCATGACCTCACATATTTACCTTTGTGTGTGTGTATGTGTGTGTGTGTGAGCCCTTAAGTTCTACTGTCTCAGCAAATTGCGATGTATACAATGCGGTATCATCAACTATAGTTCAACATGTGATGCATTACATCCTCAGACTTCTTCATCTTACAACTGAAAATTTGTACTCTATTACCAAACTCTATTTCCCCCACCCCGAAGCTCCTGGGTTACCATTCTGCTCTCTGTTTTCATGAGTTTGCCTTTTTTTTTTTTTTTTTTATTCCACATGTAAGTGACACCATGTACTGTTTGCCTTCCTCTGTCTAGTTTATTTCACTTAGCATAATGCCTTTCGGGTTTATCCACATTGTTGTAAATGGCAAGATTTCCTTCTTTTATAGGTTGAAAAATATTATATAATTCTATATCTCTATCAATCTATCTATATATATCTATATCACGTTTTCTTTATCCATTCCTCCATAGATAGACTCATGTGGTTTCCATCCTTCCATGCTGCAATGAACATGGGAATACAAATTAATGATTTCATTTCTTTTGGATATATCCAGAAGTGGGATTGCTGGATCATATGATAGTTCTATTTTTAATCTCTTGAGGAACTTTCATACTGTTTTCCATGCTGGCTGTACCAGTTTACATTCCCACCAGCAGTGCACAAGGGTTCCCTTCTCTCCGCATCCTCACCAGCATTGGCTGTCCTTTGCCTTTTTGATAGTAGATACCCTAATGGTGTGGGGAGTTATCTCATCGTGGTTTGGTTTTGCATTTTCCTGGGAGTGATGTCGAGCATCTTTTCATGTACTATACAGATATTGGTCATTGATAAGTCTTCTTTGAATAAATGTCTATTCAGATCCTTTGCTCATTTTAAATTAGGTTATTTGGTTTTGATGTTGTTCAATGGTATGACTTCCTTGTCTATTTTGGATTTTAACCCCTTCTCAAATATGTGGTTTGCAGATACGTTCTCCCATTCCATAGGTTGTCTGTTCGTTTTATTGATGATTTCCTTTGCTGTGCAGAAGCTTTTTAGTTTAATGTTTATTTTTGCATTTGCTGCCTTTGTTTTTGGTGTCAAGTACAAAAATCATTGCCAAGACCAAGGGCAAGGAGGCTTTTTCCTAGGTTTCCTTCTAGGAGTTTTATGGTTTAGGGTCTTACATTCAAGTCTTTAATCATCATGCATTAACTTTTGTGTGTGTTGTAAGATAGGGGTTCAGTTTCATTCTTTTGCATGTGGATATCCAGTTTTCCCAGCACCATTTATTGAAAAGAATATTCATTCTTCATTGTATATCCTTGGTACTTGGTCAAAAACTAACTGACCACATATGCATGTGTTTATTTCTTGTTACTCTGTTCTAGTGATCTTGTTGTCTATTTTAGTGCCAATGCCATACTGTTTAATTACTACAACTTTGTAATATAGTTTGAAATCAGGAAGCATGATGTCCCAGCCTTGTTCTTTCTCAAGATTGCTTTGGCCACTAGGGATCTTTTTGTGGTTCCATCGAATATAAGAATTTTTTTTTTTTTTTTTTGGTCTATTTCTTTGAAAATGTCTTTGGAACTTTGAGAAGGATTGCACTGAGCCTGTAGATTGCTTTGGGTGGTAGGGACATTTTCACAAAATCAATTCTAATCCATTAACATGAAATTTCTCTCCATTTATTTGTGTCTTCTCTCTTTTTTTTTTTTTTATTTGTGTCTTCTTTAATCATTATATAATGACCTTCTTTGTCTCTTGTTACTACTGCGTTGGCTTAAAATGTATTTTGTCTGAAATAAGTATAGCTGTGCCTCCTTCTGGTTTCCACTTGCACAGAATATCTCTTTCCATTCTCTCGCTATCAGTTTACGTGTGTTCTTAAAGCTGACGTGAGACCTTCTGGGCATCTTTTAGTTTGAAGCACGTATGTCACACATATCTGTGCTGTTCTTGTGTTTGCTATAGATTGTGACTATAACTTAACATTATCAAATTCGTGTTTAGAATGGTGAATGAAGGGGCACCTGGGTGGCTCAGTTGGTTAAGCGTCCGACTTCGGCTCAGGTCATGATCTCATGGTTTGTGAGTTTGAGCCCCATGTTGGGCTTGCTGCTGTGAGCGCAGGGCCTACTTTGGATCCTCTGCCCCCACCTTCTCTGCTCCCCACCCCTGACTCTCACATGCTCTATCTCTCTCTCTCAAAAATAAATAAAGAAACATTTTTTTTTAAAGTATCTTACAAAAAAAGAATGGTGAGCCAAAAGTTCTGACTTTTAAGATCTGAATTCTAGGTAAGGCTAGTTTTTATCTTCATTGCTTTAAAGATATAATAGTATAGCATGCTATTTATTTGATATTTTCCCATAATTTTTACTTAAAAACATATACAACCTTTGCAAAAGCAGAGACTATCTTATTCATAGTTGTTTCCTCAGAACTTAATACAGAACTTTATTATATAACAGTCATTCAGGAAAGGCCTACCAAATTTCTACTGGCCAATAAGGAACTCTTTTATTTGAAAAATTTAAAAAGAATAAATTTTTATATTAATTATAAAAACAGTGCTAAATATAAAAAGAGCAGAACTTTCACTCCCTTGTAGAGTAAGAAATATAGAAATATTTTGTAGGTAAAAATGCTAAATATTATGGCGACCTGGAGCACATTTGGAAGATACAGATTTCAGACCACCTCATTCGGAACATTAAGCACACTGAAAGCTAATTTTTTAGAAAATGTTTATTTTGAGAAAGAAAGCATGCGCAGGAAAGGGGCAGAGAGAGAGAGGGACAGAGGATCTGAAGCAGACTCCATACTGACCGCAGAGAGTCCTATGTGGGGCTTGAACTCACGAAACCCGAGATCATGAGCTGAGCCAAAGTTGAACTAATGCCCAACTGACTAAGCAACCCAGGTGCCCCTGAAAGTTAAATTTTGATTTGTTGCTCCTTCATCTTTTCTCTCTCTCTCTCTTTTGAACAGCTGCAGCTGCTGGTGGCCAGTAGCGTTCCCAGGTACGCTGGGGGCCCAGAAGCACTCTTCACCTTGCTGTTCAAAACCAGCCACTTCTGAAAAGGGCAAGAACACAAGCATTGTGAAGTTGCCGTTCCCCTCTTCTAACCCTGATGTATTGTCAAGGTCATGCTGGTCAATCAAGGCGTCACCAGTCTCAGTTCAGCAAGAAGGATCTCCACCTTGTTCCAAACTCAGGGATTTGTTCCCCCACCACCAACTTTTCCCCTGACTTATTTCCCTGGCTTTTCTTCTAACTAATGGAATTTAAAAGTGGATGTGATTCAACAATACAGGTTACTGGTTTACCTGTTGGGTTAATTAAAAAAAAATTTTGGGTATATGGACTTTCATCTTATACCCTTCTTCTGCCTTAGTTTTCTTTGCCTGGGAACAGAAATACTTCACCTCTTTTTACCCTCAAAGTTAAGAAATATCTTTATCAAGTAGTCACTGTAATTATTCATTAACTCGCATTTTGAAACCAACGTCTTGTTTTTCCATTTTTTTTCCATCTCCCCATCTAGGGCCCCCATGACTATACACCCAAGATTTTTTATTAGCTGCTGGATTCAGTAGGAAAAGGAATGGGCTTTTTAAAAGAAAAATCCTAAGGGAAGTAGGGGCCTGATTAGCATTGGACTGAAAGTCTCTCATCTTAGACAACCCACCTCTTTATGAGTTAAAAAAAAAAAGGCATTCTACATGATTACAACTCCATCACAGCTTAATCATGACCTCCAAGGATCACATTTCCTGAGTTTAGATTCTAATATTCCATAATTTGTCTTTGCTTTCTTGTTAAGGTTAGGAAAACACACACTTCCACAGGGGGCTTTAGTTTATAGATGTGTTTAAGCGTTATCATCTGATTAAACTTTGAATAGCACCAATCAATGCCCTCAGCCAGCCTTGTTTTGTGACTTCAGTTACATATGCGAACCCACAATGTCCTTTTCCAGAGCTGAGCCAATTTGCCTGCCATTCTCTGCAATTGACTTGCTGGTTTTTATTACCCTGTCCGTGAGTTCTTCCTTCTTTTCACTCTTCTTCTGGCCGTAAAAGGATGCCCTGTTCCTCTGCCAATCCGTGTGCCCATCACTGCCATGACACAAATTCAAGATTTCCTTCCTCTGGTCCACTTTTCCCGATTAGCCTCCATTCCCAAACTTGAGAGGTTTCCTTGGACCCTACTGGCTTTATTTCAGAGTCTATTATTTATATAGGTTTTCCTGTGCTTTTTTAACAGTACTTTACTGTCTCCTGTATGCATGCATCGTCTTTCCTATCCAGATTGTAAGCTCCCTATGAGCAGGGATCATATCTTTTAACTCTTTTGTATGCCTAGGATAGTGCTGTGCACAGGTAGGCACTGAGCATATGCTTATTAATTAAATTGAATCAATTTAACTTGCAGCAGTCACACTGTGAAGCAAAAACTTGTGTTATCTGCATGAAAAGTGTTATTATGATGGAAGAAATGGAATTATCTGTTGCGATGCAGGGTTTCTTGCCTCATTCGATTATAATGCAGATGAGTAAATAAAGTTAGTGCTTATTTCTACTTGGATCATTTTGTACTGTGTAGTAATAAGATTAGAGAATTGGTGTACATGTGTTGCCAAATTTACAATGTGGATGACACTCGTTGTTCTTGATCTACTTCATAAGAGAAGTGATGAAAGCTGACAAACTGTCACCCAAGGACTTCATGTCCTAAAGGCAAGGTAGGCAATGCACTTTTTTTTTTTTTACTCGAGTTGCCATCTGTCCCCATACAAAGTTATTACAATATTATTGACTATATTCCCTATGCTGTGTATTGTATCTCCATCACTTACATATTTTATAACGGAAAGTTTGTACCTCTTCAAACAATGTGCTTTGGGGACAAACGCTCAGGGTATAAGAAAGAATTCAGACATGACATTCTAAATTCCAATCTTTGTATACATTGAAAATTAAGTTGGATTTTGATTGCACCTAAATACTCCTCTGATTTAAGGTAAGCATTTTTAGAAAATTTAACCGTTTTCGTCTCCAGAGAGCTGGCAAAAATATTTCCATAGTACTTACTACATGAACAAGCATCTGAAACGGTGAGTGCCATTTCCAAAGCTGTTTGAGGACAATTTGGAGACTAGCCTTGTACTGGGAAGGTTCTGATTGCTATGATTTAGTTCTCTATCATTGTTTCTCTATATAATGATCAAAACTATAGGAAAAATTTGAGAAGGCAAACCTAACCAACCAACCAACCAGACTGCACCTTTTATTTTTTTTTCTAAGAGGAATAAAGAACAAATTCTGACCAATGTATGTGAAAACTAAATTTGCTTTTCTGCAGAGCTTCGCCATTCATTTGAAAACTGAAAAACTGCATTTCGACACATTCTTTGACTTATCTCCTTTGGCTTCTGAGAGTAGCACATAGTGTAAACCATACCTAGGGGCTCGTGTTAACAATACTTTGACCTGAACTATGTTTTCTTATTCTGATGGATCCCTACAAGTACCAGAGCCAGAGCTAGCCAGGGTTTGGAAATATTATTTGGTGACTCAAAATGTTATATGGCGGGGTATAGTTCCCCTCGTTGCCACAGGGGGTCAGCCTTTGCTATCTTCACTCCTCAGTGGATGAGTTAATAGGAAGAGGTTTCGGGTCAACTTCTCTGTTTAACACTTCAGGGCTGGAGCCCTGCCTTTAACCTAGTAGACTTTACTGGAACTTGAAATATTCCACTTTGCTTTACCAGCCCCTTCCTAAAAGAGTATGGGTAGATTGTGGGGAAGTGGGCTTATCATACATGCTGGGACCACACCGGGCGTGTGATCGTTAGGAACCACGATGAAGCCAGCACATCTTCATCCACTTGATAAACATTTATCACATACTGTGTGTCAAATGTTTATTAAATGTAATGTACCCCAAGTATCACCTACTCTCTATATTTTCTCCCACTGTTTTGTACCACCTGCCATATTGATCTTCTTGGCTTCCAGAATCTTCTAGAATGATACTAGAACTTATGAAACTGTTTTAAGATTGAGGAAAATCAATGATACCTTTCCATTCAAGGCAAGAGTGTCCCTTTCTTCACAGTGAGGCAGCTATTACAATACACTATCAGAAATTGGAAAAGAGTTTTACTCTCTCTTATTCTCTGTCAAGTGCAATGCCGAGCAAAATCCAGATGTTATTCTCACCTTTTCCAGCCTTCATCCACAACTAGGATTTTTTGATGGACAAATAACCCTGGAATGCAGAATTGGCATCACATGCTTAGTGAGTGGAAGGCAAACAAAACAGTTTAGGCTTTGTTCTTTGGGGGAAAACCAAGAGAGTGTTTCAAAAGAGGGAAACCAAGGAGATAGGTGTCTGATGACTTTTATTTCCTTCCTTGAGTCAAAAAATATAATGCCCAGTTATAACTTTCTTTTGCCTTGTTTGGTATACAAGGGTAAAAGCATCTCCACAATTTATTCGTAAAGAAATATATCCCAAAAGAAGATGTAAGCAGGCCTCAAAAACAAGAGACTTAAGAATGGGTTTGGCAAATGTTCCCAGTTCTCAATGCAGGTATGCACTTCGTTTTTTGGAAGAGAGACACTGAGACTTAACCATGTATTTTTTTTTTTGTTTTTAAATTTTTTAACTTTTATTTATTTTTGAGATAGAGAGAGACAGAGCATGAACGGGGGAGGGTCAGAGAGAGGGAGACACAGAATCCGAAACAGGCTCCAGGCTCCGAGCTGTCAGCACAGAGCCCGACGCGGGGCTCGAACTCACGGACCGCGAGATCATGACCTGAGCCGAAGTCGGCCGCCCAACCGACTGAGCCACCCAGGCGCCCCAACCATGTATTTTTTTAAATGAACTATAGTCATGGCCTCTTTTTGTGTTTACTTCCTGCAAGAAGGAAATACCATTGTATGGTGGTGACAGTTCTCAAGCCCTTTTATTAGATTTATTTTTCTGACTTCTCTTGTAATGGATTGCTTTGATACTTGGCCTTGGATGGTCCAGCTGTCTTTTCCAGGATCAGTCTTGGTGACTTGGTAACTATGAGTAATGGAAAAACATATATAAGGAAGACTTGACCTTTTCTGGGAACTTAGATATTGTACAACACACATCTTTTTCACACATACCAGGAAGTTTTCATATCAATCCTTATGGTTATTTAAAAACTTACAATAGAGGTACATGTTCACTACAGCAAATTTAAACAGTTTGAATAAAATAAAACAAGTGAAAGAACCCTGTAATTCTACCACCCAGCAAAACTGCTGTTTAATATTTTGGTGTACTTTCCTTCCCTCAAATTCGCACACACAGACACACAGACTTAATAAAAGATTTTGGATCATGAGATATATTTAGTTTTATCTTACTTCCTGATTTAACATTTTCCCATGCCATGAAATAACTTCGAGACCTTTTTTAATGGCTATAAAATATGTCACGTGACCTTAAGGAAATTGTTCAAAACCTCATGTTTCTCATTTCTAAAAATGGGGCTGGGGTGCCTGGGTGGCTCAGTCAGTTAAGCTGAGCCAACTTTGGCGCAGGTCATGATCTCACAGTTCGTGAGTTCGAGCCTGCTGACAGCTCAGAGCCTGGAGCCTGATTTGAATTCTGTCTCCCTCTGTCTCTGACCCTCCCCTGCTTGGTGTCTCTCTCTCTCTCTCTCTCTCTCTCAAAAATAAACAAACATTAAAAAATTTTGGTTTTAAATAAAAAAAAATAAAAATTGAGCTAATAAGAGCCCTGCTCCATAAAGTGTCTATTTGGGGTTAAAAGAGATAGAACCTTTATAGAATATAGCACTGGGCCTGGCCTGCAGCTAGCCTTCAGGAATAGACACGGTTGTCATGCTTGTTATCGTGGAATTCTAAATATTTGTAGTTATCCTACAACTACTTTTTCTGCTTGACTATACATATCAGCTCTGTGAAGTAATCGAGAACACTACTGAAATAAGATTTATCC